AAACCTTGAATTCGAGTGTAGTAGTCAGTAGGTTTCAAAATTATTCGGCAATTTAGAAACTTATTTAAAAACGAAAGATACCCTTTCTTTAAGAATAAAATTTAAAAGCGTAATTTGCTACCAAACGAGTACAAGAAATATTTTTTCGTTAATATTTCCTATAAAATATATTTGAATTTATGAAGGCAGTCGAAATCAATGATAGATACGCACTCTATTTAAGTAGTTACCTTTTACAGTACATACGTTTTGTCAGTGGTCAAAATGAAGTTCATTAAAAAGATCACATCCTATCATAACTGAAATAACTTCAGAATAGAATGCACGATAATCCGTATCACAACCTGAGTCAGCGCCGATTAGCGAAATAGTATCAATCGTTCGCAAATGTTGGCATATTGCACAGATTCTGGCGCATACTGTACTAATACATCGTTAGATCTAAAACATCCATGAAAATCAGCCCGGTGACCAGGTGAAATCAGCCTTTTACGGGAGCAAGAAACGCTTATGCCGAAAATGACCATGGCCACAGACGTATCGCGGAGGCGTCATTTTTCCTTTAATTCCAAGCGCTTTAAAACAGAGAGATTTCGTTCATGTTCGTTCCATAGATCTAATAGTAAAACAGTAGCAGTAACAGGCCTCATGCTTGTAATTGTAAGAGTTCCGGGCTATGGATTTGAGAAGATGTTAGTGCCCACCGTAAGAAAATTTTTGTCTTCGTTGACGTTTTTGAGGGCTAGGCTGTCTTTCCTTTCCAAAGTATGGACTACCCAGCTCTCCGAAACGTCGACGAAGATCATTAGTAGAATTCGAAGCATCACTGGAGAGAGGATTTCCAACAAGGAGGTCTTCAAGTACCTTGCTTGCGTTGGTTCAAATATCAGAATTATGGTATGCGGAAAGCTCTAGTCGACTTTAATGGGAAGAGACCCAACATGGCTGGCTGGAAATGATCAGTCCATTCATCTCCTTCACTTACGTGGCGGTTTGATGCTTTCAGATACGAAAGGATTAAACCGCATCCCATCATTGTCCGTTGTGTTCGATTTAATAAAATAATGTGAAGTCGTTTTGTGTCTATAGTGAGCGAACACGATCGAAAATTACTCTAAAGCGCGATCTTTGTGCTTCAAAGAAACCCCCTCCAACAACAACAAAGAATAATAAAATTTAGGCATCTTTAATTTAAATTTCTCTGCTAGATGCCAAAACAATTCTCCCCACCCAAAACCGCTCAAGCAGGTTTCGGATTAAAGGTGCTACCTAAGTAAAGTTGATTCTCTTCCCAGGATCCGATCAAACTGACGTTGTCAGCTAACTACTGATCCTCCATCATTGTAGTGAATTCGACGCCGTTTCGACGGAAGAATTCAGATTCCACCAGTTGAATCCTCACTCTGGAGCGATCCAGAGGATCACAGCGTCGATCTAAGTAGTGTCCAAATATGGAAGAAGATTGAGATGGAATGGGCTTGGAGGCTTCCTGAGGTTAGAAAAATAATAAGATGACTTTTCAAATAACTGACTAGGTGTCAGTAAGCGAAATTCCTAATAATGGGAAGAAATTTAACATAAAAGATTGGTAACGAGTACAGTTTGTGTGTGCGCTGCCTGAAAATAAGGCCTGACATGACCTGGCTTAGTTGCTCATACAGAAACTCCTTCACAAAAATATGGCCATACAGATTTTTAATGTTTCTGAATTCTACATAATTCCCTAGATTTGTAGCGTTGTTTATAGTCATAAGGTAAGCTTTCAAACCACCCTGTCTGTCGTTAAAATTTGCTCACTTAATTGACCGGATAAACGCTTACTGCTTGAGAAAAATTACCAACTAAGATATTTCAGAAAGAATTTTAGTTTGGGTCAGTAAAATCCCGTTTTGGAAAAGCCAGGCTACTTTGTTTAATAATGGATATCCAAAAAATTGTGAGAGCCCTCAATAGAGGGAGTTTGAATAAGAGCAATAAAAAATCTAACTTCTAGAAAGAAAGCGATGGAAAGCAAGGTAGCTAGAGGGTGCTTATTTGGTATCATAGTACGGATATTTCACAACCAAAATACGCAGAGTCACTACGCTCAATTGGTTGGAATTGCACAAAATCGCGGCTAGTGAGAGGGATTTCTGGTAAAAGGTCCAAGTACCGTCAAATTTGACCGTACTAAAATCGTCAGAAACCCTTTGGGAAATTGGCCCACACTACACAACCAGAAAAACAAGAAAGCTTCGGCGTGCCTTTAAGTCTGCGCTAAGCTAACATTAGTCCCCAGAATTATGCTCTCAGAAAGCTGCGTGGTTCAATACAGTGATAATGCGGATCAGTTACTGTAACCAGGGGCTAACAGTAGGCCGACATTATCAGCTACGGGTATTTTTTAAGCCAATAAGTAGGGTGTTACTCAAATTCCCCCTCTCAGACCCTACACCAAACAAAAAACTTCACGAATGAGTAAACTCGATGAAGACACAGGAGGATCTCCATAAAATAGGATGGTCAAATGGGTAGCTTTTGCTGGCTGACTGACTCTTATCCTTTGACAAGCCCTGATACCATATTCTCGATTAATAATTCAACTTTCAATGGTCAAGGACGAATAATAGGCGAGTAACGACAGGTTTATAATACACGAGGCCGACTGCGCCGGATCAACCTCCTGAACGAGAGAACAGCAACTCGCTACATTAATAGATGACAGGGACACTTTGTTTGTAAAGCCCAAATGGCGACGATGATGATAGCAAGGGTTGGCAGATGATATTGGTATCAAATCCTTTAGGTTTTTACGAAGATAAATATGAGAAATGAAAATCCGTCTTTAAAGAAAATTTATTAGATAATTTGAAAAATAAACGTTTATAGGAAGAAGTGCATAAATTCGCAATACGAAAAAAATTGATGTTATATGTTGAAATTGTCCAGCATAGTTATCTATCAAAGAGGAAACTACAAGTATCTCAGCAGTAAGTATCAAAAGACCAGCATAACTAAATAATATAATCGCCGAAATGCGTAGTTACTAGCATGTAGATGCTTTGCAATGCAAGGTTAGCCAAAGAGGAAGATCTGAATCGTGGTTACCATCAGCTAACGTCCTGCAGCCATTGAAGGTTCCTAGTGCAATAAGATGAATCCAGGTAAACAATTATTAATAAGGATTTACTTAGCGTAACCGAAAAACATAAATTATCATTTTCCAGTTTACTATGCCTATTTAAAAAGCATTATACTCGTAATATCTAGAACACACGACGTTTCAGAATATCCTTCAGAAAGAAGCTTTTGCCCCTCAGTTGCGTCCATAATGAGATTACTGGACAAAATGCATTAACGTAAGATAAGACATGTAAAAAACATCACTTTTTAAATGAACTATGAACTACTCATTAAAATTAGCAAGCTGAGGTTCTCATTACTGATCTTTTTCTCTAGCTATGAGGGGTTTTGAAAGTTAGCAATACAAATATAGCCCACTAGTTGGATGCTAATCCTGAATGTCTTCGAAAGCAACCTCGAAACAACGCTCAGACCACTGATAACAAAGACGCACTTACTTCATCATGGATGTGCAAGCCAACCATTTTGTCGTGTCGACGATCATCGCGTCTCTGTTTTTCATTAAAGCCAGTTTCCTTTGAAAACACAGCATCGTAAACGAACGACTTTTCTGTGGGCTATAAAGGAACAAATTTATTTATTCGGTTGTGATTCATAGCATACTTCAAGTCCTTTCAAATAATGACCCCGGCATTTCCGTGAGGTAGCCTGGAACTTCATCCCTTACTAAATTTCTATGTGCTAACCGATCATTCTCGGAGTGAAGTGTATTGATTATTGTACTACTTTGGTTTACCAGAATGTTTGAGGAAGACTCGCTATAAAAAGAGGAATAAATACACAAAATATTGGGAAAATATATTACGAAAGGCAGAAAAAGTAAGGCTAAAATCGTTTAGATACGGTCCGTCATGAACTTTACCTAATGTTTCGTCTGCAGTGCAGTCTTACACTAGTCGTTGAATAAGAATGGCAAGAGAACCCTGCTCTTATAAGAGGGACAGAACAACAATGATGAAGAAAAGGGCATTAAAAGATAACTGGTATAAAACTGGTTAATATATTAAAGAGCCCATAGTTCTTTAAATCGCTATTTTTGTCGTTGCTCTCAAAAGTTGGAGAGCATTAATGCACGGCAATTGCCGGAAGATTAATCTTCCGCGGTGACCAATCGGTCTGTAGCAGCAGACGGAATTCTCGCGAAACTAGCAAAAAGTAAAGGCTTAAAACAGAGTGGAATCGCAGCATCTTATGAAGATTGGTCGTCTGAACTGGGATGATGTACAGGTTCGCTATACGGCTTGCGTTTCCCAATAAATCAATTTATTAAATTCGAAGTGGCCAACCGATTAATCAGAAAGAGACGGGATTTATATGTGCCTTGTTCCTATATTAAAAAGCCACATAGCTTTAGATACGGCTTATCACCTATCAGAAAACGAGACATTGATGTCTCATTTCAGAATACTTATGCTGCAAGCACAGTTACTATGACAACGCCGAACCTTTTTAGGAGCATTGTAGTAAGTGTACTCTCTAGGCAAGTCTCTTTGTTGTGCAACGTGACTGAAAGCTGATAGCATAACAGGTCGGCCTTCTAAAACAAACTCCTCTTTCTCAGTTTTTACGTGCAAAACATTCCGGTCACTTTCACCAATCTCTGCCTTCAATTTTTCGCACAGCATTTGCCTTATTATTGTGGGTAAGTTAAACAAATCTGCTCATGGCAAAAGGCACTGGGGAAGTAAATAAGCCCTAATAGGTTTATCCCATAGACCAGCAAATTAATTCAAAATATGAAAATAAATAAAAGCAAGGCAAACAAAAATTGAAATGAGAGCTACTTTTGCTAGAAATAGGTTGTGCTTTAAGTTCGGCCACGGCACTGAGGTATTTAACGATATTATAGGAAGGGATGTTTAGTGTTTTCGCAGTGTGTGTGGACAAAATAAGAATAAAGTAAATAATTTGTGTATATAAGGTGCCTATAGAATACTATCAAAACAAATTTAGTATCGGGGGAAATTAATGAAAATGTATACAATAGTGCCTTGTGTGAGTGGCCAGATATACAACAGGATTTAGCATTTGTATTATGGATGGTAAGCGGAAGTTTTCACATCCAGTCCAGTTTATTGACCGAAAAAGGTATGGCCCTTTGAGTATCTTAATTGCAGTGTAAAGAGAAACCATGTGGGCTGCGAGAGTTCAAAATGGACAATGAAATATGACATTTGGGGCAAGAGTTTTGATGATGGTCGTGACGCATTTTCGTACATATATCTGTCAATGTTTGTTTTAAATCCTTGTTTTCAGATATGTCATTCGCGCTTCTAGTGGAAGCGCGAATGACATATCTGAAGATGTTCTAACAGCACACCAGGGCGGTCATGTTTGGCGCATTTGTTATAAATTTTGCACCACGTACAAATTCGGTCTTGCGTATCACTCCATTGCTGAAAACTTTCGCCGTAGACGAAACGCTACGTAACGAACAGCAGATTTTAAGCAATTGTGGTGGAGTATATGTTCCGTTTGCCATCGGGGAATCTGAGTTAACTGAGATGAACGGCGTCGTTTGCTGCATCCTTGTTTTGTTTTGGCTGCTGACTAGTTTAACTTTGGTCGAAGTTTGGATCGCAACTTATACAAAACTGGGTCGTTTTTGGAAGGTGCAACAGCAGACAGCCGGTATTTACGTGAGATTTTTTAAAAAGCGTTGACTTATCCCGCTATGGCAATAGAGAGGAATTCTGTCATACAACGTGACGTGGAAGCGGAGCGGCCATAGAGAATACCCATCCACAGCAGAACACGCATTAGAGAAACGAATACGGCACCAATCCATGCGACCTGGGAGTCGAACGGTTAGACGATGGAGCTATAGAAGAGTACAGTAGTGAGGATCAA